TAGTATTTTACTAAAATTACACATTACATAGGTACATATCTAGAATATGATATCCCATGATTAATGGCCACGTCAAAATTAAAACGTGACGAGCATTTATGATGCGTGTAAATTATTAGATTTTTTTTTAAAGTAGAGTATTTTCATTAATATTACTCTTCGACATTGTATTGATGCGTATAATACATATACAATAAATATGTTTATAATACAATATGTATAAACTACGTATAAATAATAATATGGTATGAGATTTTGTGTGATCAAAGAAACGTGCTCCGTATATCTAAATATAAATCAATMTAAGTAACTATTTACCTCGAGAATAATTTTTTTATAACCTAATTTTTCTGATTTGATTACACATTATAATATTGAACTATACAAAAATACCCCAGAACTTCGGTGTGGGATTATACGTGGGAATGTACGAGTTATTAGTATAACAAAATATTTGAAAATAAGTACCATAAAAATGTCACTGCCATTACGTTTTTATTGACATCAGGAGTCCCACTTAAAGTTAAAATTAGTTTACTGAGAAATGCCTACTGATATATTTTTTCTAACTTAAATTTGAATATCTCCAATGATMATATTTCAAGCCAATTGCACTTATATATATTTTGAGGAAGATCAGAATTATTGTTTCAAAACGCAATGCCCTATACATTTACATACCGAAATAAATGAATCAATTGTGTTCTTATTTTTCAGTGCGTAGTAGAGAAATTAGTGATAAAAAAGTTACAAACAAAAGTATTTTTTAGTATACCTATATATAGATAAATGCTCACTACATAATAYAAGAATTTTAATAATTAAATTAAGACCATGTTTAAATTTGAMCGTTTATGTACCTATTTGCAATAATAATGATCTATTTTGTATTTATTAAAATAACTAAATATAATAACCATATTTAAATAACATGTTGTTCATGTTTCAACAAAATATTTATGTTGGATACACGACTAAATAATAATAATAATAGAAAGTCATATTAATGACGCTTGGTTGCGTCATGTTGTTTCAAATATATTAAGTATATTTTAGTAATGTATTTTATTTTTCAATTTAGTATATTGTTTAAATTTTAGAATTTAAACTGATATAGAAAAAAAWATATTATATTGAATTAAACTATTGAAGGTTTTTTTTTTCGATAGAGCAGCCACTCGTTAGCTTTTATAAATTTGTATGCATATAGAATCATGATCAGGAAAATGGAGATATTAAAAATTCATTTTTAGTTTTATAATAACAGTACCCATGTTCTATTTATATGGTMAAGTTTTAATGATAAAATAAAACCAAAATTTACTACTGCAGAGTGTAGTACACTAAAGAATATTGCAAGCTTATGCATGTATGATTCTATTGTTTTGTTGAATCTACTACACACACATTTATTACAAATTGTGATCTTTTGATGGTGYACATTTCCACTGWTTTTWAAAATGTTATAATAATTAGTTCGTATAATATTAACAATTATTATACGTATTTTTTGAAGATCAGAAAAATTATAAATAGTTTTATTCTTTAAATTGTAATCAAGCATATATTCACGGGATTGATGTTTGAAAATAAAGAACCGGAACAAGTTTAAGAGCAAGGATAATGTATTTATTAACTCCAGATGCTCATCTGGGTATTACAGTTTTATATTACAGTAAGAAAAAAAAATCGGATTATCATGGAATAGTGTAATTGTGTTGAGATATTCGTACTAGTATTATACCTAATATTGTTATCTAGTTAGAGTATAATAAAACGATTTTATACACCTAACGTTTAATACCAATGTCTTATACTCTTTTTGAATAACATACATGGATATTAATTTTATCGTAATATTTCGTACATTCATCGACTGCAGTTCAATTAAAAAACTTCTACAACTATATACAATTTCAAAATATTTATTTAAAATTTAAAGGAGTGTGTATTGTGATGAACTGATAACCTAATCTTTAAAATATACTTACAAGCATAATATATTTGATTAAAATGTTTTTTTTTTCATGAAAATGTAATAAGAAATATTAATACCTAACCTTAAATTAGGTAAACCTAACCAATATTGTTATTAAGTTAATTTAAAAGTATTTGAATAAAATTCATGTTTAGGTATAAATGAAAATTATTTATTAGATAATCATAATTCAAAGTTACATTCTAGTAATATATATATATTAGTGACTGACATTGATCTCTTTTGAAAAAATCTAATAGAATTAAAAATTATGTATTATTATCAAGATGTCAACATACAATTTATAATTATGAATTATATTAATTATATTTTATGTATTATTATTGTTTTATGTTTACCTTTTAGTTAACAATTTCAAATATTCATAAATTATATAGGTAAAATGTTATTTATGTAATTATTTCATTTTTAAATACCCAAATACCTTACTATGCTAATAATTATAGTAAGATACTAATATATATATATACTCGCATACTTGTCTTACCTACGGTAATATAGTAAAAATGTGGTTTATATTAATTGTTTATTCACAATTAATACTTATCTATTAAATTACATTTTATTTGTAATATGTAAGTATAGCAATGTATAGATATTATTTTTATAATATTTATATGCTTAATATGCACAAATATGAAAAATGACATACGATTCAAACCAACAGTGGTTTTTTGTGGTATAGTTTCTAATTGCAATAGAGTACATAGGTAAGATTGGTAGTAGATAGATAAGTTAGTTCTGCTGCAAACAAAAATTGTGTCTGAAGTGTAAAACAATATATGTATAATATAAATTATCAAACTACAAGTTTTCCAATTAAAATGGAAGAATATAAGTTATCTACTGGTTTCATTCAATATCGTTATTGAGAATTGTTTTAAAATAAATGTATTTACTCTTTAAACACAAATAAAATCATTGTACTCTGGGATAATGTATACGAAACGAATTTATATATTTTCTATTAAATTATACATGCAACCTAAAATAAATGAAAAGTAAAAAAATATTATKTAATTATTTCCAATTTTCTAATTTAATATTAACAAATATTTATTTATAAGATAAACATATTATTTGAGGTGGGATTCAATTTGTTATTAAATCTTAGATATGAACGTTTATCAGACCATTTTTAACTTATAATTAAAACGTTAAAAAGTTATTTGGGTAATATGTAAATAATATAGAAAATAGATAATAATAATAAAAATATATCGTTAGTTGTATAGATTAATTTATTTGACGAGAAATGATTACTAAAAACCTTTTATAAAGTTCAGTCTTTCTATGCATACCAAACATTAACATTTAAGCAAACAATGCGTAATCTTGAATTTTAAACTAGTTACGTAATGTAAGTTAAATTCTGTATCTAAAAAACTAAACTTATAATCGTAAGAACATTTAGAGTATTATAATATTAATATAAATACAATTTCCAGAAAATCAATTTTTATTTAGGCTTAAATCTTTATCGGCTAAAAAGAATATCATTGCAGTTTTCTCTGCATGCTTTTCAATAGATTTTACCTAAAAAAAACTTTCTTCTCTTCGATATAATCTTTACTATTATACTTCCTAAGTAAATATTTGTTATCTTTCGTTTGAAATAGTACAGTGATTGTATTTTATTATTATACWATATCATAGTATATCAAATCCCATATCGGCATTATAACGTGAAAACCCATTATCTAACTAATGAATAATGAGTATTATGATAATACTTTAGAATTTATAAAAAGTCACTATGCTATCCAGTAATATTTGATTATAAAATTATACATTCAATATTTTTATTAATTTATAGGTAGATAATGTAGAACGATGTGAGTAGGTTTGTGCWATAATTACGTTAAAACTAACTAAATTATTTCACATATTTCAAAGTATGTAATATTATAGTTGATAAAAACAAATAATATTTTTCGATTTACATCAAATTAACAGAAATTGTTTTAGGAAAAATTGTTACTTTAAGTGTATATTTTAGTTATAATCTATATTTTGTCACAAAATATACTTAAATTTTAGGTAGATTATTACAATTAACTTTTTGTTTTTAATTCTACTTAAAAAAAATTACGAGGACCATTGTTTTAAATTCTAAGGTCTCAGGTGTTTAAATTAATTTTTTTATGAATTTAATATTATTTTAGTAATTTACTATTTTAGTAAACATTTGTATACTTATCAAAAAACTTGTCCATATGGATTTTCGATTCTTTTAATTGTGGTGAGATAAAATGATAAAACATTGTCATCATCTATTCAATTTTCAAGCAGTTTTACTATTAAAAAAATTTGCTTCCTCGGTAGATAACAATTATTATCTATAATAAATTGATATTGACTTAAAAGTTAAGAAAAAAAATAATAAAATAATATTATATGAATTTTAAAATATTATTTTTCACTGTCCAATAATATAATTGATCCAACGTGATAGAAAATAAATAATTCAACCCTCTTTACCATTACTAATATTAAATCTAATAATTATTGTAGTTATCTAAATATATTTATTAATATTGACTCGGAATCCGCTAAGAATCCATTGAATTCAAAACGTCATCCATTATTACCTACCAACTCTATGACGTACACACGGTACTTATATTGTACAGCAGAGCGGTTACCTATACTTGCTTGATTTTTTAATCGCGTTATATTTAATATTTCACTATTTTTTTCTAGTATCGTACATTGTTAGACACCTAGGTATTAATGTGTATTGAGTATTGACGATTAATAAATTTTGTTATTATTCTCATTCACAGATATGTACCTATATGAATCGTATTCATAACAAATCGTATATATTAATTTTCAATTAATAGTTACATGTAAGTATGTTATTTATAAACCGTAATATAACTATTTACGATTTAGTAAATTTCAAGGTCTGTTATTATCGGACAAATTAACCACCATGGGCATTATAAAATATGCTGTTCTAGACGACTATATAAATACTCGCAAACACTACGTTATACTCATTGTCACGAGTTGATCCGTTCAAAAGCATAATAACAACATTTTCTGTTTGTAATATCAATCTACTAAAATGCAGTGTATTAAAGTAAGTACATTTAATTTATTATTATTAATACTTTATACTAGGCACATATTATACCTATTTATTCTTTATGTTATACAAATATCACAATACCTACACGATTTTTATATGGTACTATAAAGTTAATTTTCATTATAAATATCTTTATAAATCTTACCACAGATAATTGACAATTTGTATATAAAACGTAATAACGTATAATACAATTTTAATGTAATATTGTTTGTGTCGTTTATTTTTGGTCCCCATGATAAAACTGAAAATGTATTATTTTTTAACACCAATGTCAACAACTGCATGCTAATTTATTGTATTATGAATGCTATGCAATGCTTGATTCGAATCAAGATCCCTTTGGCTCCATGTCTCCATCACTCGCTCTTTATATATTCATGTCTGTATTTGTATTATTACTATTATTAGTATTTTAAATCCCTATAAGGGTAATGACTCTTGCGCTTCATGACATATAAAAATATTCTTTTTCAACGCGTTAATTCGAAAATGTGTCAAGAAATAAATTCCGGTTTTTCAATTTCAACGAGCGCATATAATTTTCGCAGCAGTAGAATGTAATAAATCACGTGTTACGTCTACTATGTAATACGACCGTGTGTGTGTCTTGCAGGTGTGTGACTCTTGTGCGATTTTTTATACGATTTATACACGAAAAAAAATCTAAAAATATACGAGAAATTCGCTTCATATTACACTTAACTAGATAACATAGGTCATAAAATAATATAATTTAACGAAAAACACCAAGTAAATATTTGTTATTAGTTTATCATTAGAGTATATCACTTACCACAGCAAAAACATAATTATTTTATTTTTATTGGGAAAGAKCTAGGGTCTACAATTGAAAATTTCAAATGACTATAAATGCTCAAAATGAGTTTATTAAATATTTCGAACATTTTATAGTATATAAAAAAGCTAATTAACTTTCGGTGATATGGTATCGGTATTATTTTGTTATACTTACCCTAAACATACAATTTTGCAATAATTGGCTTTGCTTAAAAATTGTTTCTCTCCCTTAATTCTTTAATTTAATTTTACCCCTACCCCAAAATAACAACTAGATTAACACTCCTTCCAGAAAAGATGTTGAAGTAGTAAACCGAAATGTTTTACTGTTCTAAAAGGTGTAATGACAGAGTATAGAAACACACTGAAAAGCTCATATCGTTGTAATATCAATATACATTTATCTTTCCACTCAGAATCTAAAATCAAATAATTTCATGACAAATAATGAAATTATAGAAATAGATAATGATTGTTAATTCTAATTATTTATGATATATATTTTATTTAAAATTACTCTTTAGGAACTTAAATTGTTTATTCGCCTAGTCTCTGCTATTTCGATTATAATTATAAATGTTGCTAACTATTAATATTAAATCGTATAATAATTACAGCGCTGAACCAAAATAATTTCTAATATTTTTATCATAGGCAATAGGCAATCATAGTCTATATATACATACAATAAYGACTTATAAATTACCATGGTTGTAATATGTGATAATAATAATTATAAAATTAACTTAACACAGAACATAATTTTATCCGTTGCGTTGGCTAGAATTAGGTTAGTACCAAAATAATCTTCTCCTGGCCTTTACACTTCTAACTACGTACTATAATATTTGTATTGTTAGAATAGCGTGTGTAAAATATTATCATCAATTAGCCCTAATTTATTCTATTTACTGTACAATTTCATACTATCTGCAGKCAAGAGATGTTGGAATGTGATCTTACCGGAAYCCAACATTTTTACATTGGATATCAAACCAAAAAACCACACAATCTATTGATTGTTGTTATTGAAAAGTAGATTTTTCCCTTTCCAACACAGTTAGAATTACATTTTATCTTCGATCTAGCATTGTTTTATTTGGATTACTCTATTCATTACATCTATTTTTTTCACTAGTATTTTTGCTTTGATATTTTTTTTAGGTCACAAGTTCAGCACTCCTATTGGCAGTGCTAATGGTTTGTTGCATGCTACAGATGGCGTCAGCTGGATACAATTTTGGATACGGCGTGAATGATCCATCGACCGGTGATATTAAAGACCAACAAGAGACGAAGAACGGTGACCAGATTGTAGGCTACTACAGGTTGCTGGACTCTGATGGTCTGATCAGAACAGTCAACTACCAATCGCATCCATTGACTGGTTTCACGGCCCAAGTCAACAGAGACCCGATCGGTTTGGAAGGACAGGCTAAATACCGTTCAGAGGAGGCTGCAGCACAAAGTAATCCTGCCAAGCTACGCACGTCCCTTGTACCCAACAACCAATACTTACGTTATGACGATGGTACACTGGAGGGTCACCAACAGTGGTAGTAGATTCCATTGGAATTATAATTCTGCAATAACGTTCAACCTACGTTCCAGTTCAATATAATATACCTAATCAATGAAACATTTTAAAATGTGTGTAATAAATAATAGTAATACATCTTTTTTTTYATAACTACCAAATATAAATATACCAACTACCGAAAATACACAACTTGTTGACTTATTTTTTTTTTTTTATCTTACACCAATATTGTTTGTTTTGTTTTCATTCAAACCCAGAAACATTTTGCCAAAATGTTTTTGATTTTCTGTTTAAAAAAAAAAAAAAAATGTTTTCTATTTACAATATTATTATAATAGTTATATATGCTTAGTATCAAGTTTTATTTAGATCATTCATATTATAATAAGCAAATATTTTTAAATTTATTGAAATCCAATAATCTATGCAATTTAATTTTTCATTCAATATTTAATAATCACACATAATATGAACATTTTGAACTTTTGTTTTTATGTATGTCTACTTATAAATTAAAATCATCTGACTGATATAAGATTTGGATAATCAAGGATACATAAATAATTTTTGAACATATCTTTTGAAGTTTAATGAAGAGTACCTATTTTAAAAGTGACTTCAAACTGATTTAATATTTTCTGGWTTCGTGGTTTTTAATAGAGTTAHAAATCATGTAAGRAGGACATTCAAGACTTATTCGACCGACACTAGCACACATAGTTGARTTTAAAGGATTGCAAGCGTTCGTTTTTATTTTTCGTAAATAGTATATTATACGTATGGAAAGAGAGTTAGTGATAGAAAGAAAGAAAAAGAATGAGAGAAAGAGAGAGGGAGAGAAATATAGAAAGCTATATATTTGTGTAAAGAATGTAGGTAAAATTCAGCGTAAGATTATTAGTATATGCACACATATTGTATATACGATGATATTCACACATAAATAAATTTCTTTTCCTTTAACGTATTCATGTATGCATAGTAATATCATATTATATATATATATATATATTATATAAATGCATAAGTATGAACCTTTATACGTTTTTTGTTCAGTATTTTCCTATACATCAAATGTTGGTCTCCGGTTATGTTGCTGTCACGTATAGAATATAATAATACGTTTAAATGTATGTTATCATATGAATAAAGGTAAACATAATATACGGACGATCGTTTATTTTTAAGACTCATTGTTTGAATAATGTTGTTCACATTATAAGTTCTGCTCTATGACTTAAACTGGAAAAGATTAGATTAATATTTTATGCATCTGTTGGCTGAAAGAAAAACATAGTATAATATTATTGATCGATTGACTAATTCTGAAAAAGTTCACGTATTATTTGTGTGACGTTCATGCTTTCAATTTTCTGTCATTTTTCAAAGTCAATGCGACTAGTACAGAATAATATTGAAGTTCAATATTATTTCGGTTGATAATCACAAGAAATTTAATCGAAACGATTCGCAAATAAGAGCCGTCGGTTCCCGGTTAAAAAACGGTAAGAATTTTTTTTTTTCATCTCAGATCGAACGGGCTAACTGTCTATGATGACGAGTCAGTTTCCGAGAAAGAGAGAAGCTTTTTTCGAATTTTAAAATTAAATGTAACCAAGGAACGTATAAATTTATAATGGTTATTGGATAACGTGTGATATTTAATGGAATATTAATTTATTTACGGAATGTCATTATGTCACTTAATCACCACGATCGGCATAATTAGGGTTATGACTTTAAGAGTATGAAATATTTCACATGAAATTTCACTTTGAAATATTTCAAACTTGAAACTTTCTGTCTTCTTTAAATATTTCAATGAAATATTGAAAAATATGATAGGTATTTCAATTTTTTGTTTTTGGTATGTTTGACAAAATCATTACTAAACAGTCACACTGATTTCATAGTTAATTAGTGATTATCGATTCACGATTATGTTTTTCTTTGATGTTTATAAATTAAAATGATAATTGATAAAACTAATATAACATAATATTAATATATTATTATATTCATAATATATTAATATAAAAATATGATATTATATTAGCCCTATAGGCTGTAAATTATAAATTATAATAATATTATTATACTAAGGATTTAATAAATACAAAATTTTATTTTAATATAAATAGGAATACTATATAAGGTTTTAACTCATAGATTATTATAAACGGGACTCTTGTTATAACTATATCTAATTAGTAATAATTATAAAATATTAAATAAACATAAATTAAGAAATTGATATACGTAATTCATGTGTTTTTAAGCTTTTATATGTATGTTTATATGAATTTTATGTAATTTGTATAATGTACTAGGTATGTAAAAAATATGTCAATAACATTTCTACTCTAGACTTAAATTAAAACGATTTTTTTCTATTTTTCATAAAAATAAAATATTTCGTGAAATTTTAGAACCCTAGCCATAATACTATGAATAATATGATTCAGTTGCTTTTTGTTCTGTTCTAACACGGGTTATTACGATATGACTGGCGTGTGTGATATTGTGATATAGGTAATAGTTTTAATTTCTGATTCATATCTGGTGCGTGCAGAGGTTTATTATGCGATAGTTTATATTAACTTGCAGAGTAATTATATATCTGCCTCAAACATACTAAGCCATGTTTATAGTTTATTATAGTAAATAATATAGATTCCTCAAGCTATTACTGCTCTAAGAAAGTCTAAAGTTAAAATAGTATATTATGTAATAATATACACTCATAAACCGCCAATAAAATGCCACATAATACACAATAATGTAATATACACAACGCTGGGTTTTTGCAAATATGCGAGGGAGGAGGAAATTTCAGATGAGAAGATTTGAGTGATGGTCAAAAATAGATTTTAAAGTTGTAGTTTTTAATTCTGTACAAAAATATGAACATTGATTTTAAAAAATGCCATGTATGTTGGCACTAATCTGCTTTACAGTAGGTTTGGATTGGGTACACTATATAGGAGCGTATGTTTTAAATTTGAACTCAATGAGACATCATTATAAAATACAAAAACGAMTCTGAGCAGGGAAGGTTGTCAAGCTATATCACTTACACTAAGTATATTATATTTTCATACTTATTTTTTTATAGGAATATTCAATTACTGTTATAGTATACATTCGTAYAACTTTTCTACTACCTAATCATAAAATGTTGCGAATAGTTATGTAGTATGAATAATTTAATTTACTAATCAATTTTATTTTTGAATTAAAACAAATAACATCGTTATTCATTGTTTAAATTTATAGTTTAGTTCAACTTTAATTAAATGYCCATAATATAAATTTCTTTTGTATTGAAATTCCTGCTTTTTTTTTTCCTGGTWATTTTGAAAAGTACTTTTTATTTTACCACTTCCCCTTTCCAAGTTTCAATTAGATAACCATTTCTAAAGTTAAACTCAAAGCTATACAACTGTCCAAAAAGATGATGACAAAAATAAATAAAATATTTCAGTATAAAATCAATCGTTTCCCTAGAATCTAAGACCTACGACAGGGATGATGCTAATTTGCCTATATAAAGCGCCGTCTAATCATTTGATTATCTAAACAATTTGTTTAAATTATTTACAGTATAAGCATAATAAACAATACAACAACCTGAATGATGGAACAATATGTTATAACATCACCGCTACATACTTCGACTAAAATTGTCTAAACTAGAGATGTTGAATTTAAATTGGTACTGTTCGTGTTTTAAAATCTAAATGATTTTACTATAACACAATAATTGTACAGTCAGAGTTAATTAAGATTAAAATTATATTTGTTGGAAAATTAAAAATATGTTCTTTTTTATTTAGAAGGGAAAATTAAATAATATATATTTTAAATATCGTTATTTTATTGACTTTTCATAATACGACTTATCTCATTTATACACTTTTGGATTTAGAACACGGGAATAGGTGTAAGATGTTTTTTAAATTAAATAAAACAATTATTTTTCAACCAATTTAAAAATTATATCAAAACATAGCTAACTCGCTATGTTGTATATTATCTAACAGTAATAATCCTACTGTTTTTAACTGTTTCTAGTGTATTCGTCTTCGATTAGGCCCTTGTTATGGTTATTAATGTATAATCTTAAAAATGAATTTATTTATGAAACACTGTTCACAAAAAAAACGACTATGATCGAAGAATACGTATCAGACTTTATTACTGAGTGTATTTCATTAAATTGTGTTTTTTTTTTAAATATTGCTGCTGGTAATTAATCCTGCTAATACTATTACATAAYTTTTATACAATTTTTGCTAAGAATAATACTCATATTTTATTTAGGCAATAATTGTATTTCATGTAATATTACTATCTTTCATTCACTTATAAGTCAACACCAATGTACCGTATAAATGCTTGTTACTTTGTGTATAAATAGCCCATGATCATTCTAAAAACGTTCTCTAAAATCTAAATATAACTTGAATATAATTTATATGGTACAGTAATTATAATATTATGCTTGCAGTTACTAGTTAAGATATCATAGTGAAGTTTGTGTCGATTATACTCTATAAGGTGTRTCATTCAGGTTAAGATTACAGCCTGYTTATAATAATATCATCACCTTTRAAAATAGTTTAAAATTGTAACACTTAATAATATTTTAATGTGTATAATGTGTAGGTATCTACATACATTATATCTGAATTATGTCATGAGTTGGTGTTGCGGTAATTTATTATTAATATTAAACTACTGGTGTCTTGATAATTATCTAATATGTATTATAATAATATATTCGATATCATAGTGTATCATTAATTCGTGTACCGTAGTCCGTAGTGAAGTTTGTGATAGATTGACGACAGGTCTTAAGTATGCTTACATACATATAATAACATATTATAAAAATATATTCCTTGTAATTTACTAATATTGTGCAGTTATTAATTAAAATGGACTCGAAAAAAAGAGAGATTAGTGAAAATTTGTATTTTTCTTGGTCATACGGTGTTTCGGCAGACTGCTGCAACCAGTGCGCGTAAATCATTGATAGTCTGTCATGTGCCCTCGAACGGTTGTTGGAGAGCGTGTTATAGGTATTTATGTGTTTGTCAATGGTTGGGTCAGATCTGATTTGGTAAGTATATCATATTAGTGGTATACACCGTACTGCAGACCRTGGATAGTTATCGAATATTCCTGTCGATTRAACGGCATATGTGACTCTGTGCAAACGTCAAAGATAATAATATATCATGACATTACGTGGTATTATTCAATTCGTATAGTCGTGGCATCTATATATAGTCGGACGAATGAGTGTTTATGTGCAGTGATATTATTATAATATTCTATTCATCTGCAGTCGTAAATGTTTTGGGTGGTATCATAGTAGGTATATACAATACAAGAAACATCGCACTGGATGCGTAAACCGTATATTATATAATATATACTGACACGAAAGTCCTGTATCTTAGATATAATTTCTAAGTCGATCATTCATTTCGTTTGATAAGAACATGATATGTGCTCACTGCTTTGATTTAAAGTATTTGAACAGCACCGTAAATATTACGAAGGTATACAATATTGTATGATCTAAAATGAAAATAAATTGAAATCACTAGATTTGAATTCATACCTATTTGTTATTCTAACATCAAAGTATTTTCAGATTTTTACAAAGTGATTTTTAAAATCAAAAAAAATTAAAATAACGCAACAACAAATGTGATTTTTTGCTGTTTTTAAATWAAAAAAATAATAAAATAGGAAGTTGTTTACTCGAAGATTTTATGATGGAAACTCGTATTAACCAAAGAATAAACTAAAGATATATATATATATTTAATAATTACTTAGGTATAACAAACTTTAAATTATAATTTGTTTTTAATTTTTTAAAAGGATTAATGATTAAAAATAAAATTTCCATGTATATATTATATTAATCTAATTATCGATAATTGTGAAAGGCCTGTCTGAAGAATTTCATTTAGTRAAGTAAGTAAAAAGTACTAAAATAACCTTCTTTTTACATTATTCTTTGTGAACCTCGTATCTCAAGATAACAATACTGATATTCATACTTCGTTCTTCAATACTAAAGTTACAAATCAAGAATCTCATAAACGCCATCAAGGCTCACTTCTGCAATCATCAGTTATAATGTGTCACATGTGACAAAAACCTAAAATCGTTTTAAATATCGCTACAACTTTACCAAATATTACTACTTATGTGATATGTGCCACGCATAAAGTTATACAAGGAATTCAAAAATTTAAATAAATCTTCTGAAAATGCCAGGAAAATGTACATGCGAACCGTTACAGAAACTCCTCTTATTTTAAGGAATAATTTTTCCTCGATACTTTTCATTTGGCCAATCCACCATATGCATCTGTTATTTTTGGTTATAACCCGAATAATTTACCAAAAAATCCAAACATTGAATTAGCATTTTAAAAATTTCCTTTTAATCTAATCTAAATTATTCAATTCATTCTCACTAGGTACTGCATTTAATTTTAAAACTATTCCTTGGCCAATAATAACCCTTTTATAAAATATTATTCAATATTTCATAATCTGCATAATTTGTATGATATAAATATCCATGTATATATGCAGCTACTTTATTTATTGTATGCATGGGCGTAGGTAAGGGGGGGTTTGGGTGTTCAAACACCCCCYGAAATTAAATAAAACAATCTAACCTAACCAAGAAAAAAAAGTTTTATCTTATAATTTTTTTTTTATATTTTTAAATTTGTAAATTATATGGACAAAATATTGTATTTATATTATAAATAATTATAATTATTATAATGTTATTCAATACATACAAATAAATAATTCTTAATTTTATCATATTAATATAGATTTAGACAAAAACCCCCTCCGAAAATATTTCCTACCTACGCCCATGATTGTATGTAATGTTACATTCCTACATTATATAATATATCGGTATGTATTAATTGCTGAGCTATAATGATGTAATAGCTAATAGCTAAAATTTTTTTTATGTTTATAATTATTTATAAATAAATAGCTAACTTTTTAGTCAAAAACTATTAAAACAATATCTACCTGAACCCATGCATAAAAATATTTATATTATTTGTTTTAAGATGGCAAAAAATAATCACTTTTAAACAATTCTACCGTAACCATTAAAATACTTCATAGACAGGATTTTCGCTAAGGAAAACTTTGGATAAGCAGTTCTATAGTAACATAAATCGTAAATATAAAATTAGAGTGTGTATGGTATCTACTACTTCCAACTATAATACTATAAATGGGATCCCTAATTTTATTCGGTCAAAACCAAGTAGAAATAAAGTTATGTAAAGCATAACATAATATTATAATGGTCATAACTCATAAATTATGCGATATAAGTTGGATTAAATAATTAACAGTACCCTCGAAATATATTCTTTTATTTTAAAATAAATTTTGTAACATCATAGATAACAATGATTCTTTTGAAATAATTTAAAAAAAAAAACGAACATAAAAAATCAGTGGCGTACGGTTTGGTTTAAAGACTACGCCGTCGGAGTAAAATGGGAATAAAAAATTTTAAGCATCTACCGATAGAGCATATTATTATCTTTATATATTACGGTACAAAAATACACTACATTAAACATTTGAACCGTAATATGTATAAACTCATAAAGACAACGTGGTGTCATTTGAAATCAAGATTTTAAAAATCATGATTGTAGAAAACCAGTCATTGATGATAAAAAAAATAAAATAAAAATAAAACTGTGAAAACTATTAAACGATTCTTTGAAGTGGACAAAAAATGTATGTAATATCGGAAATGGTCGTGGATTTCTCCATCGGCACCATTATGTGCATTATACACAACGCCACGTTTGTGTAAGTCAAGATCTATGCAAAATAATTAGTGGTGGGCATTAAATCCGAATATTCAATATATTCATATTATTCAAATATCTGGATTTAGTATTTTTGATGTGATCTAACGCAATAACAACACCAGTGTGTAGTCAAAACACGTATTAAATAAGACATGTTTAAGAAATTTAATGAAAAAAAAACATTTATTGGAGTATAAAAAATAGTCATTCAACGAAAATATTTAATCGGATAATTTGAATTATCTGGATTATCTGCGAATTCCGGATTTTCAAAATACTGATTTCATAAATCTGAATATGTCCATCGTTAAGAAGAATATATAATACCATATTTKCTGCGGGTGAGCAATAATTAATAATTAATAAATTATCATTGCAATTATGTGAGAGTTGTAAATTACTATCTTATATTTCACCGTATCTACGAATAATATAGTGCAATGGCATCGAAAACTTAAATTAAAACTTATAAATTCATATAATTCTGATATCAATGAGGAAAATTAGTCAGCTGTTATAAATAGTATGCTTACTAAATATTTCTATCCATGGATAAATATTAAATAGTATGTTATAATGTAAATACTTCATAATTATAAATATTCGTAACACATCAAAAAAATATACATATAATAAAATGACATGCATCCTGAAAAACATTATTTACAAAATAAATATTATTATTAAGGCTCGGATTTATATATATTTATATAACCAAAGTATTTATACAACAAAAATATGTACATAAATATTTTCTGAAAAATTCATAATATGTATTATCAAAAAAAAAAAATAATAATAATAATATAATGAAATATAATAAAAAAAATATTTATCCAACTATCTAATTATCTTGATTAACGAGCAACGAACACAGATTGAACCCGCGAAATTAAAACACAGTCCGTTCGTTATAATGCCAGTAGTTCAAATGCAAACACGTGTTATTAAATCGTTATCTATCGTTTATTGAGGTCATAAATATCGAACATTTATCGACCGTAAATTAAGTATAATAATTGGAATTATTTCGTTACTATTTCGTACTTTTGAAAACACGAGAAATTTGAAAAAAAAATACAATCGTATACAATATTAATGATTATTAATAAATAATACAATTTCATAAATKAACAGATTGTCGAAGTATTTAAAAAAAARTGAAATTATTTAGAAATATGCAAAAACATGTACTGACGGCAAAATATGTAAAATTAAATATAGTTCATTTCATTGGAAATCCCTTGAAAAAAAATTATCACTTACCTTAATTGATTTATAAAGTCACAGTAAAAATATGTATTTGCACATAAATCTGAGCTCTAATTATTATAATGTATCTAATTTACTTACAGTTTCAGTTTCACTATCCATGTTATCGTCAATACAAGATGAATGTCTCCGTGGTAGAAAGGAAGGAGATTTCGGCTCTGTGGCAGAATTTTGATTAATAATCCTAAAATTAACAAATTTAAGTACTTATTATACCTAATTTGAAATACACCTGTTTTATAGTAAGAATGGTTATATTTTGTTTATAATTATAACTCAACAAACCTTTTATCAACCATAATAATATGGATGTATTATGAATTATAGGTTATGTTCTAACAGGTAGTTACAGTTATAATAAGTAATAACTAATAAGTATAGGGCCCACATKTTAACTATCTAAAAAATCTATACAATTATAATATGTGTTAGTGACTTATAGACTTAATCAACGCTTTCAAAATTTAAAACTAGTAAAGTTAATACAATTATTTATTAGTTTAAAAATTGTGAATTAAGAATTTTTAAACACATAATTTGCATTTAAATTTTATTGGAAAAACTAGTTTTAATCAAGATAACAATATTAAAAATGTTGTTTTAATTGATTTTTTGAAATAGATGAGTAAAATTAAATTATTTATAGTTATTAATAGAGCCCGGAATTATATTCTTTTGCATATTTTTTATGAGTCTATGCAGTCAGACGGGGGTTCGAAATCTKTACGAATCATGAAACAGGTGTAATAATGGCAAAAGTTTTTTTTGCATATTTGAGAATATTTCAAGATGAAAGAATATTAGAGAATATATCAATTAATTTGTATATATGTTCGATATTTTTRGTTGCAGTGACGTAAATAATATAAATTATACTATGTCCGATAATAGTGATAATRATATGATATTGAAAATGTACTATATATTTATATACCATCGTCCATCGTCCATTGTATATACGATTGTTATATCCAACGTAGTAATGTGCTGCAATCCACTGTAGTATATAAGATATGTGACTTATCTAAGATAACAATGCCCGACAAAAAATGGAATTACTACACAAAAATAGCTAGCTCCAAGCAAGAAGCATATTTTTGCCATATTTTACTATGATTTTTAAAGAATATTGGAAGAATATTTTCAACTTTTTAAGAGAATATTAGCATCTTACCTTGGCTATTTTTAAAGAATATGATAAGTAATACTATATTTTTTTCTTAATTGTTAAGAAAATTCTGGAMAATTCTGGTCTCAAAATAGATGCGAAATTTATCAATAGTCAAACCTCAGACTAAGAACACACACATATTCATCTATGCATTATAGAATTGRAACATCATTACCTATAAAGATAAATTTTGGCATGATACTGACATTTTGATCGCTTTAAGTCTTGTTGGTCAAAGATWGATCAGTCAGCATAAATAAAAAGCAAACCACACTATTTTTCTAAGGATTTAAAAAAAAAATAAAAATAAATATGACTTAGTTTATTTTTATCAAGAAATACTTCAAATAAAAAAAGTAAGATATGATAATTGGGCACTGCGACTACTGCGGGARGTTAGGTTAGGAACCCATCAGAGAAATTAGATTTATGATTCCTCCGGGTACTACCTGCAGTCATGCATGACGAATTTTAAACCTGATTTACTGTTAAAAATATTTATATTTACTGAACAATTTCACATGAAAACTTAAGTGAAAAAAAGGATATTAGAAAAATCTTCGTTTTTTTGTGACTGACTGTTTTAAGGAATTAGTGCACAGTGCCACAGCCTGCACTTCTAAAATTAAATGCCACTAATAATGACATACAGTTGATAAATACCTTAATAAATTATGATAATCCAGATATTACAACGGCTATAGTAAAGGAAATTATGAAAAATCTCTGGTACCTTAATTGGTCTACTTTGATCAAAATGTCTCAGTAGAAACAATGTGTATGATAGTTCAACAATGATTAATAGCCATTAACTAAAAGTTTACTATGTACGATGATGAAAAATAGACCTCCATCATAAGAAAATGAGCAGTTTCATAATTAATCATAAATATTATGAGCATTTTCAAATAATTTGTAGTCGTTGAATTCTGAGAAACTGATGTTGAAGACTAAAGTAAGTCTAAAAGTAACTTGGACACAAAAATTTATTAAGAAACTATGAGTTACCTATGATGAAACAAAATGAGGAGTTGCATTGACCATATACCTAAAATATAACAAAATCAATAATTATGAGACAAACTTTAGTTTCTTTTAAAAGTAATTTATTGAATAATTACAATTAAATAATGTTCTAAATGACCACACTAAAATATAAAATAAACCTTATAAGTATCTTAAAAAATCAAAAGGRATGTTAATGATACAAATTCTACGTTTATGTAATAACTCAACACTTTTGCAAAGCAATACATATATGTATAGTGTATACGTATATGGGCGTACTTAAATGGGGTGCACATAGGCCCGTGACTCACCCATTTACAACATTTTATAATTTTTTATCACATTATTTTGAGATGGAAAATATGAGTTTTAATTTATAAATATGTATAGTTTTAGTTTTTCGTTTATGTCCCTCACCATAAGAAATTTCTAAATATACCCCCGAACACATTTTTGACTKGATTAATGAATTAAGAAATGAAAAATTAAATTAAATCTATGCAACTTCTCAAAGTATAATGTAATAATATAATGTAACACGTGTTCATTTTTCTTTCATAAGATAAGCTATGAAATATTTACTTGTTTGGAGAAACGGTTGAGCTATGTCTTCGCGGTGGAATTTCGGGAGGTATATTTGTGGACGCCATGAATGTCGGTGATTGATATAAATGCTGAAACATAATTTTCATCATGAACAATTAACGATGTTATTAATATTTTTAATTATAGTTAGGCTTATTATACTACTGATGTKATTATKCATATATTATAATATTAAATTTATCTGTTTTCATGTTAATATACATATTATTATCATTTCACATATAATATCTGTAGTGCATAATATTATCTCTAAAGTTAATTCTAATATTATGTATTCGCATTCTTAAATTTTGGGGTAATGACGATTTTTGAGTTTTTATAATTTATAGTTTTTTAATTTGTACGAAGAATTGGTATTGCAGTGATAATTTTTTCTTGATCTTTTTTTTATTTAAAAATAACTGTCATATTTTCAATTAGTTATGGGCTTAATGAAATTTTAAGAAAACATTTTTTTCATACACTGGATTCATAACTGTCATAGTTCTAAACTTTAAAATTAAATAAACAACTGTTGGGTGAAAATTACATAAAACAATTTTTGACAAAATAAAATAATTTGATTTAATTAAGAAGCAGGATAGTTTTTCATTTATGGCATTTAAAAAAGTTTTCAATGATGGTAAGTAGTAACAAAATTAAATATACTAAAATGTAACAAGTTTTAATTTCGTATTTCATATATTTTGATAATGTTCTTTTATAGTTTAAAGGTTAAATTTATTTGGTTATTTAAGTTKATATAGAATGTATATAATATTATTATGATCAGAATGGGTTAGAACTTGYTTAATTCATATATTGTAGGAGGGTAACCACCGTAAAATAAAAATGAATACATATTTATGTGGCTAATAATAGACGGTTATCATATCCAATTATGAAAAAATAGAGAAATCAACTTAAATAATTTAGTACATTAAAATTATTAAATTCCACAACATTAAAACGATAAAAGTAAGTCTAGGTAGAATGAAAGTTACTTTTTCTACTAGATTAAGTTTTGAGAGATAGAACAAATTATTAACTCAGTCTAGCTATAAGTTTTTCAAAAGTGTGGAAACCTTATTGATCAGTTATGAGTTAATTTCTTTCACAAAACTTTAAAAAAAAAAAAAAAAACTCTGGATGGTTAAAAAATCTATTAAAATTAAATTGTATTTAAGTTTTTGACTTAGATGATTTTAATTGAAAACATGAAATAATAACATAATATTTTACTATTTTATTTTAGTTACATTTCAACGTCATTGTCAAGGGCATGTAAAATGTATACTAAAACCAAGCAGACTTCCATCTTAGAATGTTCTAAGTCAGATCACTTATTTCAATCCCTTATATTATATTAGCTGGTAAAAGTTGCGATATCTACATTTTTTCTTAACATTTTGTAATTCTGTCCGGAAAAAGACAACTACAAACTAATCAAACATTAATCTGTCCTACTAAAATATTGAAATACTTTTTAGCATTTTTTTGATTTATAAGTGATAGATAGATAAAATTACTAATGTTTATTATACGTATCATGTATAAAAACTAATAATTTTATGTATATATATATTTAAAATTTTATGAGCCCACAACAAACATTTTGAATTTATTTTTGGCTATAAATACTGCCGTTTAAACTTTGAAATATTCTTATAAACACGTTATTATTATAATATCTAAGAGAATAATAAAACTTTAGAACATTGAAAGGGTCCTGTTGGTTTTTAATCGTACGAAGCCGTGTGTAATAAATTATGAGTGGAACGCATAAACTTACTTAAGTATTTCCATAAATAATCCTCTAGGTTCRAGACATTTTTCCCGTAGTTTTGATTACATCAATCTTATGTTATCACTTTTTTAGTTAAACTKGTTTTGTCTGTGATGTTTATATAAATACTAATAGATATAATCTTATATTAATCTTTAACACCTGATATCCATTGGCCTATGTTCATCAAAGTTTAAAGTGAAACGTATATGCATAAAATGTGCAAAATTCCATCTTAATCACTTCAATGAATATGTTACAGTCTATATAGTGCATGTGTGTGGTGTATGTATGCATTTACGGTTTTTAGTTAAATTCTTAAAAAAAAATGACAGCTTAAATAAATTCACCGAACCGAATATAAAGTTAACTCCTCTGAAGGTTTGAATTTGAGCGCCATTATTATTCTTTAAGAGCATTTTTACTAATAGTGATAAAACAGCAATTTATTTATACATTGTACATAATTGTTAACAACCTAATTGTTGCCGAGTGTACTTGTTTTATCCCTCTTGTGGATCGTGTTCGACATCAAGTACCTTCCTTCCTACCTGCGGTTCATTGTAAAGCGTTMTATTATATTATGGAARTATRAATTTATAAACTCGTACGATTTTTAWMATATTGTGTGAAAGCACCACAGATCATRTGCGTTTAAAAGTTCGTTGGACACTARCCCAATAGCCACCCATACYAAAAAATCTATTTACATGTAATAATACAAATGTATACAGGAATAGAGATTGGAAATTTTCCGGTAAACTGAAAATCCACTGAGAGTATTTTTACAAAATAACTATTGAATACAAATTTTATTTTAAATTGCATGTATGAAATTATTTTTTTAGTTAATTGGATAGTTTATTTTTAGCGTAATGTCTAGAAAATTAAATAAAAAATAAAATKTATTAATTTATTGTATTAATAAAAAAATAATGTAATATAAAAAATGTACTTATTGTAAACTTGGTAAATTTGGTTTAAAAATAATTTATTTCTAAGATAAAACAGTGTCGATTGAGGTATACAACAAAAATATGTTATTTTTAGTATTAATTTTATATACTATAAAAAGATAAAATAAGACTTTTTACAAAAATAAAAACTGTATTTAAGTATATAAGTAATAAAGTAATCAAAACTCAACTTTATATTCAAACGTGTTTTATTTGTTATGCCAATTTTCTGAATTATTGCTACAATCGACTTGTTTTACCCCAGATACTGGTATTATTAGAGCTTAAGAAGTATTCCTATCAACTAAAAAATTTAAATACGCATGTGTGAAGTGTGTATAATACAATACCTAGATATAATAATAATAATATTATACATTACACTATACACATACATATTATATACTGTTACAGTAATTTAAAAATAAACTTGAATCTAAAATTAATTGTACCACGAACATTTCTTATAACTTATTTTGGAGAAAAAAACTAAAAGTACCTAAATAAATACTAACAATTTACTTAGCAGTGAAAACTGAAAAGTAATAGTATAAGACGATAATTTAATTTTGACAAAATGTAACTTTCAAGCGATCCCATAAATAATTAATAAGCTTAGCAATATAAAAAAATAGATTATTTTTAAAACAAACTACAGGCTCTAATATTTCCACTTTTTGAAGAGGAAGCTACAGCACATTTAATTTCCTACATAATATAATATATTTAATAGTTATCATGTTAAATGGGTATTTAATTATTATAATGTAATATAGTTTAAAATTTGTTGTAATCAATTTTTCACGGGATATAATATGCACACGCAAATCACGTACTTATGAAAAGTTTAAACAAACAAAATGTTAACTATTCTTTTTAAAGAATGAAAATGGCAGATAARCGTGAATACAAACAAATAATGTTTTTATTACAACTTTTACTTGATCGTTGTTTTTGTGTCAAATTATATTAAAGTTATACATAAAAAAACTTCTTCTATAGGTTATTTCCTGTATATAAGCTATGTCCTATACCAGTATCGTATTTAGGATTTTGTTAAATAAGGAATATACGTTAGCAAAAATGATAATTTCGTAAGGGGAGGGGGGTACCTTATATTAAAGTTATACATAAAAAAACTTCTTCTATAGGTTATTTCCTGTATATAAGCTATGTCCTATACCAGTATCGTATTTAGGATTTTGTCAAGTAAGGAATATACGTTAGCAAAAATGATATTTTCATAAGGGGAGGGGGTACCTTATATTAAAGTTATACATAGCAAAACTTCTACTATAAGTTATTTCCTATATATTACCTATGTCCTATATCAGTGAAGTATTTAGGATTTGTCAAGGGGGGGGGGATATTCGTTGGCAAAAAATTTATTTTCTCAAGCGAAGGGAGTACTATCGACATCACAATATTATAAATAAGTAACAAATAAGAGATCAAGGGGGGATCTATCCCCAATATCACACCCAGTAAATACGCCACTGTCTAATACAATAATTTGTTTATGATAATAGCTAATATATTATTGCGTGCAAAATTAATTCAGACATAGTCGATACTACAAGTATTAATAATTGTTATATCATGATAATGTTAGGTTAGGTMATTCGTTGGCGAATTTATATACTGTAATTATAAAACATATGATTATATGAAACTTTGTATAATTTCTGATCATATAAAACATAATTTATTTGAGTAAATAGGTACAATTCTAAAAATACGATTGCTAATTATAAATTAAACTGTGGAGTRAAATGTAAAGATAGTTTTCAGCGGCGAAAACCATTAAACTTTATAACTGACGTTTAAAATTGTCTACCTGTAATTAGTACAATTCGTAGTCGAGTGTAGACATTTCTATAAAGGACATACATTTTATTTKATCAAGATGTGCTGTTTTTACAATTAATTATTTATTATTCATGTTGATTGATTTACATTGTCATGTATTTATGTGTATTTTAACCGATTTGTCACTTTGTGAGCAACAGTTATTAATATTTGTATGGCACACAAAGTTAGTGTTATAAACTGTATATTATATGTATGGCTGTGATAAAAGGAAAATAATCTGGATAATATTTCCAGTTTATCGATTCGATARGTTTTAGAATATTTTGTTATAATATGATACAGGCCTAAGTGATCAATATTTTATTTATTTTTCRAAATTAAATAACGTTTTAATACAAAACAGTATATGATATATTAGGTACTATGTAGTATCATTCTAGCAAACAATAAATATTTTTTTAGTTAGATTATGAATATTCTATTTAGAAAATGTAATAGCAACAATTTMTAGAATTTGTGTCCATAAAATACTTTAGGATCATTATGACCATGTAGATATATTATCAAAGCTCCCAAATAGTGTGTCCATGTGATAACAATCAAAATTTCATTATAACAMCGACAGCAACATTATTAATAAAAAAAACAATAATAATATAACCAATGGTGAAGTATGCTTTAAAAAAAAAAAAAAACCTATGACTACATTACACTTACCCGGTGGCCGTGTGGTGTGTCCAAAACCGAGTTCTCTCTATCAAACACACGCACACATATACATACAAATACACGTATACGCTCACGGAAGATAATATGACGACCGGTGCTATGTACCGGTGACCGGAAACAGACCGCGTGCCGCGAGCTGGAGAGACACACTATCGCGCTCTCGAGACAGCAGCTGCTCGACACCGTGGTCATAGACGAGGGGGTTGTCGGAGGGGGGGAGGCGCGTTCGTGGTGGCGCGTATAGCCGCGGCCGGGGTTTGTTTAGAAGGGGGAGGGGGGTACGAGCTTGAGCGCACTGGTTTTCAACCCCGCCACCTCTCACCCACCCACAACGACAACCCCTACGGTGACGGAGCGCGCGAAAAGGCCGACCGTTTTTCCCGCTCGACGGCGGATGCCTTCGCCTCCGACGGTGGACGGGTATGGGGTGCTGTATAATAGTATATCGTACGCTCGCTGTGGAAGGTTACGGTGGACGTAGTAATAGTAGCGTGTGCGGCGGCGGCAGCGGTGGCCGGCGGTGCGCGCGCGCACTGTATAGCGCACACCCCCGAAAAACGGTGGCGGCGGTCGCCGGTGTCCTCGGCGTCTTGGTCGTACGCGCTCGTGTTTCACCGTCACCACCGCGCTTTTTCCGTCCGGACCTAACCCACCCCCGCAACTATTATACATTATTTATTGTTATTATTATTTTTTCCACATTGTGTTGTGTGCATTCCGCGAACACTTTCTAAATTCACACTCACACTGACACTCACGAACACATTCGTCATACGTTTGTCGAAAAAAAAAATGATCTTCCGAAAACGTAATTTTGTACAGCTGTAGAACACCACCGGTGACGCACATATTACACAAACTTTAACCATAGCATATTATTAATAATTAGTATTGTWACACGATATGAACATTAGCGGGAAAAAGAATTACATTCGTTTGAGCTAAAAACGGTGAAGTTACCACTTTTCGATATGACTTGATATACTTTACAGTATTTTACAAGAAAAGTCGTTTAAGAATGATAATTTTTTTTCAGTACTACTACTTCTACGGTCAATTTATCATCAATATAATTATTAATTAATTAATAATAATACAGTGATTCACGATGCGGTGAAGACATTTTCGATGAAAAAATATCTGCAGTTACGGTAAAACTAAATATAGACTTATTCTGAAAAAAGCTACTACTCGCTGCAAATAATTCTAACATAATATAGCCAYCAGTTCTTGTAGATTGAACGCGTGAGGTATATTATGGTATTTTCATATATACACATTGCACCGTATAACGTTATATTATATTATTGTCAAGCCATGACCTCCGGCCGCGAGACGATTTCCACGAAAAGTCTATACACTCTTCCTCACCGCCACAGCTGAGTGATATATTACGGAGACATAGACCGGCTGGTAGCTGTTTCCAGGGGTTTAGTATTTTTTTTCTCTTGGTCCATGATCCGGGATCGAAATGAAAAAAAAACCGATTCCAATCGTCTACGCGCGTGGAATTGATTTCAGCCCTCTCATTGCGCCACCATCACCACCGTATTTCATTATACATCGATGTCGTCCGCGTCGCAGTATATATTAGATATATATATAGGTAACAYCCCGGTGAAACGGTCGGCTTAATGGACCTAGAATCGCGACCCCTAAACCGGATGCACCGTTATATTATTACTATTTTCATTTATTGGCACATTTAAAACAATAATATGGAATTTCGATACCACCAAGTTCAGTATTCGTCGACTGCAATAACGGATATTTTCGTGTTGGAGGTGACGAAATACGCACTGACCACGACCACGTCATATATATTATTTTATTAACGAACATGTATAATGTATAGAGTTTCACAAAGGTACCAATATAGTTTGACATTCTTTCCTATATGTCACTGGTTTCCAGTAGTAATGTGCCTGTTTATATTCTCCTGGATATTAATAAGCTATAATACTTAGTCTTAACATATTACAATAAAGATACATTCGTAATGGAAGCAAAGTATTATCTACTTAAGTGGGTGTTCCTTTAGTCTCCCGTATCGTATAAAATATTACACCGGAACACTTATGTCGCCTTTGCATTATCTTAATAATACAATACGRTTGAATAATCGTATAAAGTGTTCTCAAACCAATAAAACGAATTTGTATTAAAAAAAAATATTTAAAACGTAATATATCATACACGCTTTTTATATAGAAGTTAATAATTATCTATATGGCATTATTCAGGGTCCAATTTATTCCATGTCTGGATGATAATCATTTTTGGCATGAGAGTTGATGAAATGGTTTACTCGCAGTGAAACTGTTGGAATTATAAACAAAACACCCTATATCTGATTTAGTATATCATGTAGTATATAAGTAATATGTTCACACTGTAGTTTAGCAGACGCTGACCATACATTTTTATAATACTATACCAAATATGTCTTGTGTAGCTGGGTATACACAGTTAGTCGTTGATTTATATTACGCCTCATAACACTATTGTACATCGTATCATTATACTTATTACTATACTATTTATGTCCGATCTTATTATTATTTACCTTTAGCTTCTGTATATCTGTGTACTTCAACAGAAACGCATAAAATTAAATTGACTGAAACGGCCATACAGTGTCGTTAGGGATCGAAACAAACACCTACGATGAATAATACATAAAGAAGCATCTAACGAAGTTGACTACTTAAATTGTAAGTCCGTCGTATGCTCATTAGTCATTATTATATAATTATACCGAGATTTTGTGACATAAATGGCTAMACATGTCCGATATACTGCAATATTATGTATAGGTATATTAATATGACAATTATGAATTTTTTTTATGACGCAGTTTTTCGGAATGATGTAAGTATATGTTTTAGGAATTTTTTTTTAATAACATTATACCGCACTACAATAATAAGGCATCTYCCATCAGGTCAATTGGATGGATTGTATAAATTACGATAGCTACAGGCTATAAAAAGCAATATTTATTTATATCCCAAATCTAAACTTGAACTTATTCAATAATCAATAATGTATTTATAACATCAATATCTGTTGGACTATGTAAACGTCAATTTAAGATATAAAGGGATAATCAAATTTCATTAAGTAGACATTATTATTTAATAGCGAGTTAAAAGAAACTATTTGAAAATTAAAGAAGGTAACTTAATGACTGAGTAAACCATTAAACTTTTTCTGGAAAAACTTGCACTTTACAAGACTTTTTCGTCTTGAATCAACAAAAATATAAAACACCAGTATTTGGTTACGTAACACTATTGTGGCTATTACGATAAAACTTTTTAAATTATCACTAATCGGATTCTATTCATGGTTATCCACACAACAAAATTTCTTTTATGCAATGTCTGAAAGTACAATGTAGTAACTATTTAGGAACAACGTAAAAATGTGAAYATGTTTGACCTTGGGTTTAAATACAATATAAATATAAACAAAAATATTACTTCTCTTWAAAAAAAAATTACTCATACAACTTTAACCTCATTTATTTTTTTCGACAGTAATAAATTGTTTAGTCTCTAGTTCGAACGTTAACAGAATAAACTAGTTTAAACTATTTAGTTTCAAACAATAAATTCATTCAACAATAGGTACGGAGATGTATTATTATTTGATAAGTATATTACTTATAATGTATTTAATATCTTATTTAACTATAATAGATAGATTTATGTATGCACTGTACCGTCAAAAACTAAGAATTAAAAGTTATTTGTTGGRATATAAATGGTAAAAAATAATTTTTTTCTTAAAGTAGTGAGAAAA